CAGTGGAGAAGCTAGTCAGGAAGGAGGTGGAGGTGGTGTCGGCCACTGACGGGGCTGTCTAACCCTAGTGTATGTGTGTGTGTGTGTGTATGTGTACAGTACTCACTGCTACTATCTTCCCCCCGTGTACACCGTCTTTAAGTGTAACGTGACGTCCTCAAGTCCGTCCAGGTAGATTAATTAAGGAAGGAGCCGCTAGTCAAGTGGTGCGTCGTCTGCCACCATGTGAACTACGTCACCCCCTGAACATTTTGTAATTAAGTGTCTTACGGAGTCAGCGTGAAGGGCAGGCTAGAGTGAAGGGCAGGGCAGAGTGAAGAGGCATTATGGGAAGCCTAAAGAGAACAGCAGCAGCAGCAGCACCAGGAGGGGCAGCAGGAAGGACCTCGGCCCTGCCGGGGCCCAAGCTGGCCCCTGTCACCAAGAAGCTGGCAACTGGTGAGTATACCTCTTGTCCTCGCACACTGGCGAGTATACCTCTTGTCCTCGCACACTGGCGAGTATACCTCTTGTCCTCGCACACTGGCGAGTATACCTCTTGTCCTCGCACACTGGCGAGTATACCTCTTGTCCTCGCACACTGGCGAGTATACCTCTTGTCCTCGCACACTGGCGAGTATACCTCTTGTCCTCGCACACTGGCGAGTATACCTCTCCTCTTGGCCCCCACCCCCCTGCAGGCAAAATTTACTTCCTGTTCTCCCCCCCACACATGCTGGCGTGTCTATCTGTCTACCTTCTGTCCCTCTCCTCCCTACAGACACACTGGCAAGTCTACCTCCTGTCCCCACAGACACACATGCGGGCAAGTCTACCTCCTGTCCCCACAGACACATACGCGGGCAAGTCTACCTCCTGTCCCCACAGACACACACGCGTGGGCAAGTCTACCTCCTGTCCCCACAGACACACACGCGGGCAAGTCTACCTCCTGTCCCCACAGACACACGCGCGGGCAAGTCTACCTCCTGTCCCCACAGACACACACGCGGGCAAGTCTACCTCCTGTCCCCACAGACACACACGCGGGCAAGTCTACCTCCTGTCCCCACAGACACACACACGGGGAAGTCTACCTCCTGTCCCCACAGACACACACACGGGCAAGTCTACCTCCTGTCCCCACAGACACGCACGCGGGCAAGTCTACCTCCTGTCCCCCCAGACACACACGCAGGCAAGTCTACCTCCTGTCCCCCCAGACACACACGCAGGCAAGTCTACCTCCTGTCCCCATAGACACACACGCGGGCAAGTCTACCTCCTGTCCCCACAGACACACACGCGGGCAAGTCTACCTCCTGTCCCCACAGACACACACGCGGGCAAGTCTACCTCCTGTCCCCATAGACACACACGCGGGCAAGTCTACCTCCTGTCCCCACAGACACACACGCGGGCAACTCCACCTGCCCCCCACAGACACACACTCCGAATTACTATTAAGTTTTAGTCAAAGTTTTTTTCCCCACACCTTGCCCAAAACGCTATGCGTACTAGTGGCTTTAGGTATTGTATGTACTAGCTCTATCTATAAATCCAACAGTATGTTTCTAACTCTGCATCTATGTATGTACTTTTCCTAAATAAATTATTATTATTATAATAATAATAATAATAATAATAATAAGTCTACTTCCTGTCCCACACTTACTGTTTGGGGCTTCAAAATCATGGAAGATGCTGCCATAATTAACAAGTCAGCCACTTAAGACAGTGTGAGAGATATTGCCAAAACTGAGAAGCCAGTGCTTGCTAAGTATTAAAGTGTATATTGTGTACTTATGAACATACAATATTAGTGTACTGTACTGTATAGTCATGCTGCTTAAGAACAAACCCATGTGTCAAAAAGTTCAGTGGTTTCGTTTCTCAGGAGTACAATAATAGAATTTTGTATATAATTAAACCTTATGAGAGTACAGTGGATACAGGCCGAGTTAGCATTACAATATTTTAATTCATTATTTATGTAAATAGTGTAGCTTTGCATTTGCCTGTATTCACAGGCCATGGTCTAAGTAAGGAAAAGGGCTCAAAATGGTCAGTCATTAGTGCCACACTGGTGATAAATGTACAATACAGAACTATAGACTACTGTACCTGTGTTTTGTTTTATTGTATGTGTTTATATGCTTGGGCACTGCAGTAGACTAATAGTATATACGCTCACATGATGCTGCTCTACCTGAAAGTTCAAATAACATTGTAAATTGAAAACCTATGCCAAAATGTGTGCAATATTGGTAGTATCACATGTAAAGCTTTGTGTTGTGGTTTGTTTCTTCCTGGGAATAAATGTTCATTGTTCAGCCAGCTTTTAAAGTGCTCCTGAGAAAGTATTCCACCATCTGATATATAATTTCTGTTGTCAGGGGACAGGAAGCCTCTGTATATACTTTAGCCTTGTATCGAAGTCCCCTCTTGGTCAAACTATAGTATTGACCTTCCCCAGGATGCAATCCGACAGTAGTTGCCCAACTCCCAGGTTCCTATTTACTCTTAGTTGAACAGTTGTATTAGGTGAAAGGAAATGTGCCCAGCCATTTCAGTCCTGCCTGGGAATTGAATCTGGGATCCCTGATTGTGAGTCGAGATATAGTAGTGTCTTTTGATCCCACACAAAATACAGTATGAAGAGAAGAAAACTAAATTTTAAGGAATAATTGTCAAATATCGTGTGGTGCCTCATTACTTAGATATTTAAGAACACTAACATTGGAGTCTTGTCAAGATAGTCACTGGTGTCTGAAAGGCTACCTGTCTCCAGACATTGGCACCTAAAAAATGTATTGCGCTTGCATCAGTCCAAAAAACGAAACCAGGAAAATTTCAGAAACTCGTAGTATGTAATAAAAAACTATTCAATGATTCGGTGCATGGTTCTTATAAAAATGATTTGGGAATTATATTTAAGAGTCAAATTTAAGGGGGTTACATTTTATTTAATTTGCTCTACTGTATTTTGTTTTTAAGCAGATGTGTTAAATCTATATACAATAAAGCTGGCACCTATAAATGGCATTATGGTGTAATAGTGTCCAGTGTCTAGGAATTTGTCCCATTTATGGTCTCTGGACTGCAAAAATTTAAAAATGTTTCCCCCAATACAAAAATAGAGTAGAGTACTGTACTGTATCACTAAAAAGTACTAATGGACCCTGCTACTATATTAAGGTCCCGGTAGTATAGTTGGGTTCGTTCTCAACTCTCAATCGAGAATTCCGGGTTTGAATTCTCTGGGCGGGACAGAAATGGTTGGGCGGGTTTCCAATCACCTAATGCCCCTGTCCACCTAGTAGTAAATAAGTATCCAGGAGTTAGTCAGGTTATTGTGGGGTTTCATCCTGATGATGTCAGTAATTTTCTTCTGGGGGGAAGGGGACCTCAATATAAGCCTAACATGTATGTATAAAATGGCTACCTTTTCCCAGACACAATGTATTATATCCAATAATATAAAATCTTAATGCCCAGAGGTACCCTACAAACAAATTGCCAAACATCAGAATATCCAGTACCTGGTCTTCTGTGCCTCTGAGTGCTAGTCGTTCAACTCTCACTGAGCTGAACATCTTGGAACTAGGTGCATTGTCAAATGCTGTGGTATGAAAACAATGGGAGATATGTACAATATAGCCATATATATGGTTATATGGTAAGTACAGTACTGTATTGGCAAAATTCCCTCACTGATGAATGACATGGCTCGCCATCGGGAGACGGGAGACTCTAGGATGTCCAGAGACTTTGCTTTCATGACAAATCTTCAGAATACACATAGTTCTGTGTGTATTCCATGTACAACTTCTAGTCTAGAGTCATTTTATAGAACAATGACTCCTATTTCAATTCGCACCATAAATTTTGCAATATACTTTAGAAAACTATTTTTTAGTCCACCAAAAATGTCAAAGACTTTGGATACCTGCAATTTCACCCAAGGTCTCGTGATGGAAATCTACACTGTTTAGCACGAATCGGCCACTTTGCACAGTGGTAAAATTGTAAAACTTATTACTTTTTTTTTGACACCTGGTAATCCCATGCAATATATACCTGAATTTACCTTAGGGCCACTAACACTAGTGGCCTTGACGAGGACAGGAATCCTCATTTCCCTTGGTAGTCGAACAAAATTATTTTCTTTAGGACAGAATATCTACACTCAATTTGTCTAGCAGCAAAAAAAAAAAAAAATAAAAATAAATAAATAAAAAATAATAATTAGCATTTACCAAGTGCCGAGATTAGACTAGGACATGTCACTGGAGGAGATCGGAAAATTACGTATCTTTGAAAGCTACACATTTTTGTAAAAGGTGACACATAATCCAGAGCATTATTGCTGGTTGTACTTTCTCTGTACTTTGTTAGGTGAGGTTTTCTTCATCAGAACTTGAAATAAAATTAAACTACACAGGCCTCTAACCCTTACACGGTTTTAGTCACTTTCTGTGATTACAGTACTGTACCTCCTTTGCTTGAATTGTCCTGTGTTTTTCCATTTATCCTATGAACTATTTTTTTTTGTTATGCATGCCACAATGTAGGACTTATAAGTAGCTGATCAATTTAAGGATTAAAAAGAAGGAAATTAGTTATGTTCAGTATTAAAAAAGGAAATTGGTTATTGTTTAGTAAATTGTGTATATAAGTGAACAGTATTTTTTTAAGTCATGGCACACCTTAAGTGTATGTGTAGCAGTGCATGCTGCACTGTACTTTAATTACAGTGCAGTATATTGCTGAGGTTTTATCAATTTTTTTTTTGCAAGAAAACTAGAGTTGAGTTTGTGAAAAGCACCTTTGTAGTAAAGACATTCATTTCTTCCCTAGCGTTAGACTTAACTCGTCGTTCATTTTTCTCAGATTTATGGGTCTCTGACTCCCCACCCATGCCAATAGAATAAAGAATTCAAATACAGTACAGTAATATATTTAAGGATGAATTGAAACATAACATTAGACTACTGTAACTTTTTTTTCTCATTTTCCAGATGCATCTATCGTGCTGACAGAGGACACTGACAGTTTCATCATTGGTGACAGAGTATGGGTGGGAGGTACCAAGGGCGGTGTCATTTCATACATTGGAGACACGCAGTTTGCACCAGGAGAGTGGGCTGGGGTCACCCTTGATGAACCTATTGGTAAATTAGATTTTATGCTAAAGTCTAGCATTTTTTATTTTCTTGTATTAGTTTTATAGTAACAACACTAATTTAATCATTCAAAAAATGACTCCCTTAACTACCATGCTTTAATAGTACTGTACCTTAAACTTGCATAGCCTAGTTCCATAAGCCAGAGTAATATAGTACCTGAAACTAATACAATATTGATTTAACATGATTTCATGAGTTTATGATGACTCAAAATAAAGTAAATCTTATGTAAGTTGAGGGGTTTATGTTACCATTATAAGATTCTACTATTTTCTGACCACCTTTGTTTGCAATTACTGTGCATTTGCATATGGCAGACTGCTTACAAAGGTTATCCTGGAAGCACACACAAGCCAGTGCAGTGACTCATTCGTAGGTCCATTTGTCGAGGTATGGCTGCACTGAGGGTTAGTCCTCTCAAGACAGGTCATCCACAGAGAGTGGTCTACTTTGATCATGCTGTCTTCCACCTTATAACGCAGGAAGATCAACATAGGTCCTCCATTAAATTGTATTATATTTATGCTATCACTAGGCCTTTAGGGACAGTCAATATTATTAAGAGATAGGTCTGAGGTAAGTACGTGTTTTAACACCTTTGATGTTTATTACTTTACTTAAGCATCATCTACATCAATAGGGAATCTTGGAAAAAAAGAGTTTAATGACAAGATCCAGCAACCACTTGGTAGGAAGTCATTCCCATGGAGCTGGTGTATGAAGCCATAGTCTCTAGTCAGTTCCCTCGAGATTGACTGCCTTGACTATCATTGTAGTCAAAAATGGGAAAATACTGGAGAATAATCTGGTCCTTGTGAAATGCATAATAATGGGCATTCAACAGTAACATTAAGTACTACATTACTCTGAAAAACATTGCTCATTCACCTAATTACAAGATCTAGTCTGAATGTGTTGAATCAATCATGTGCAGTCACCCGTGGTTAAGGCATGGCACATTTTTTGTTTTGTTTTAAACGAAGACTAGGATTCATTAGAGCTGTCAAATGAAATACTTAGTGAAACTGCAAGTAAGAACTGTTATCCTACCTCAGCTCATATGAAGCCTGCTCCTAGAGTCTCAATTATTTCATGAGAATGTTCTTTGAAACTATTACAGTATATAGTAACTATCATATAAGGAACCAGGTGAAACTGCAAGCAAGAGCTGTAATCCTACCACAGCTCAGTTGAAACCTGCTCCTAGAGACACTTTCACAAACAAGACGTATCAAACGTCCGCATACAGATGTAGCAACCTGTGGCCTTTGGAAATGATGTAGTGGCAGAAAAAGAGCCTGGCTCGGACAATCGGAACAGATCAAGCCTACCCAAGCCAGCCAGTGATTGGAGGCACCTGTTCTACTTTCTGCCAAGGAATAGTTCTGAGGCATTCTACCAGATGTCTCCACCAGGCCTACTGGGAAATGCATTTTTGAGGGGGTTAGGGGAATGGAATATAGAGGGGAAGTAGTCGACCTCTGAAGCTGCTAACTCATCTCCATCCACCTTTCATGAAATGGATCTCCTACTTTGAGTCCCCACACACAGGCTTGAATCAGTTTTCATTGATTGCTGCCTAATGAAATGACTTGCACATATGCTCTGTCGAAATCCTTAACCAGGGGAGGGAAAAGGATCCCAATGGCACCAACTCGAACATAATTGGATCACGAATAAGAAAGTTACATATTGCAAGCAGTTGCAAGCGCTTCTTCAGACATGAAATTGGTCTGAAAAATCCCCCCCCTCGCAATCATTTTAACATGAGCACAGTATTAGGATGACAAATTTTCTTATGAACATAGAGGTATGTTCCTCAGTTGTGATACCAGAACCTTAAGATTATGTTGCATTTAGACATTCTGATTGTACAGTATAGCAATATAAAGTGGTTATAGTATTTAATGTGTGCTTAAACAATGAAAAGGGATAAATAGTTAAGTGTGTGTTGGGGTCAACTGTGAGGTTAGATCTGAACCTTTTCTCTCCTGTTGTCTGTAATAGGCGAGTATATTAGGGTAAGACACTTGTATTCGAAAAGATAAATTTATAATGGTCTTGGGTGAGTTAAGCGGTAGGTGGTGTGCATAGTGGTTAGGTGTGATCCTGTCCGTTCTTGAAATATATTATTCTTAGTTTTTTCTTTTGGATTGTTATTTCCTTAGCTAAACGAACTAGAGGGTTCAATTCCTGAACCGATTATGTGCCTCTGTAATCCTTTACACCACCACCCATGGGATGGGTATGGTGTGCATAATAAAGAAAGAAATTTAATTGAATTGGCTATCTTGACTTAAGTGAGAAGTATGGGTGGAAGCACTTACAGTACAAACACGTAAGGGTGGGTAAAAGGAGCGAAAAGTAGCCATAGTAACGCAAGTTCAAAAGCCCCACGAGTGGGTGGAATAACAGCCAAGACACTGAAAGGTTGTGGCAATATACATATATTGGTATGCTGGTTCACAGGCATGGAGAATGTGAAAGATTCTAGATTAGTAGATCAAAGCACAAATAGTGCCATTGTCTTGGTTTATTGGTATATCCAGGATGTGTGTACAAGTTATGAGAACTTGTACATTGGTTGTGCAGATACACATTCCTGTTAGAATAGTTTTGGAGTACAGTACTAGATCAAAGCAGCAATAGTGCCATTGTACTGAGGTAGGGGTAGCAAGGATATACTGTATGTACAAGTTATATAGACATTTTATAATTGAAGTACAGGTACTGTACAAAATGTGAAAAAAAAAAATTAGAATGAAAAGCTGAGACAAAGGTTCAAGTACAGTATTGTAGTTTGAATAATATGAGTAGGGAATATTGTTCCTAGTGTGAACTAATTAGCAAATTATTATCCAGGGAAACCTAGAGGGTTAGGTTTAAAATGAACTGTGGGAGGGAGAGTTCTAATCCTACTAAAGATAGTTGGCTGTTGTCTTCTCGTGCACCCGCCAGTATTAAAGCTGAAAAAAAATAATGTTCCTAACTATATTTATATTAGGGTAGCTGGAGTTTTTTTTTTTTTAATATTGCTATTAAAATGTTGCTTTATAATTTGCTCCATATTCCTATGGAGCAGATTATAAGGCTGAATTAACATTGAGTTATAGATTGATAAATGTATAATTAAAACATTAATTTATAATTGTCTTAATCATGATATCACAGAGGTATAAACTGTATTCTCTAAATAAATAAATAAATTGTAACTAAGTTATTTACTGTACTTTACAGGTAAAAATGATGGAAGTGTTGCAGGTATACGCTACTTTCAGTGTGAGGCTAAAAAGGGAGTATTTTCACGACTCACTCGACTCTCTCGATCTCATCTCACTGATCAAGACATAGAGATCCTGACCTCACGATCTTCCTCAGTTGGGGCAGAGTCTCCAAAATCCAATGGGACTCCTGCAACAAGTGTGGCCTCGGGCCCCACAACTACCACACGTAAGATCACACCATCCAGTGCTCCCACGAGCGCCAAACCTTCTGCTACTGCTGCTTCTGTTAAGTCAGTTTCTCCTGCACCTGCTTCCACACCCAAGAAAACCTCTAGCTCTGGTCCAGGTATATGCTGATCAAGCTTGAAGTATTGCTAGTGGTAAAGATGGCTTTTGTGCATTCTGGCATATATAAAATAGTATTTTTCATTTAAGCTTTCCTTTTTTTAGTTATTTATGGCAATGCATTGCAGATTATTAGAATATTAAGTGCTTTCTTTTTATTGGGAAATATGTTAGTGTAGAAAACAAAATTGTAATACTGAAAGGCCAAGAAAGTTTTAAAGTATTATTATTCAGATTGTAAAGGGCAAAGCCAATGCCTGTTCAAATACAAAACCCTTTTAATAAGGATGAATAGTTTTATCAATAAAAGGAAAAGTTTATACTTTTGTTCATGTTAGTTTCTGTTATGTGAAATGGTATTGCGGTCATACCGAGCAGATGTTACTTGCCTAGTTGTGCTTGCTGGAGTTGAGCTTTGGCTCTTTGGTCCCGCCTCTCAACTGTCAATCAATTGGTGTACAGATTCTTAAGTCTATTGGGCTCTATCAAGTCTACATTTGAAACTGTATGGAATGTGCCTCCACCACATTACTGCCTAATGCATTCCATGTGCTAACTACTCTGACACTGAAAGAATTATTTCTAATGTCCCTGTGGTTCATGTTATACTTTACGAGTACAGTATTAGTAGTGAAAACAAAAGCCATATTGGCCTTTGCAGTGTGAAAAGTGGGCAAGCATTAAAGTAAGCTCATGCATAAGATATAACAAATTTACTGCAAAACGAAAAGAAAGAAATATGAACAAATTTACAACAACACTTGATTTTCATAGCTTGGCTGTTACACAATAACAAAAAGATTCATTAAGTGAACACATAAAAGTTACATTAATCAATTTATACAATGAGAACAACTTGGGCTTACGGAAGATTACATGTGAAACACCACAACCTGTATACAAAACAGATGGAAAGCAGATCGTGGCTGCTTGCAATGTTTTTTTCTGGAACACCTGAGAGAGACTGGTTGGTGCTGGTTAGGGATATTTATACCCCTGCTGGTGATATCGCATCCTGTGTCAACGTCGCTTAGAATGAGGAACTGGCAGGGTAACTACTGCCTGTGAGGTGGGATGATGCAGGTGGTGAGGGAGGCCGGGGAGGGGGTGTTGTCTATACAGGGTGGCTGGCCCTGGCTGGAACTCCAGAATATATGGACAATATTTGTAGATTTGTAGCTCTTGTTGGTTTGGAGCATTCATTGTGAGTAGGCAGTCAATGATGAAGGCAAGAGGGAAGAAGCAGTTTACCCTGCTATGCAGGAAAATTGTGTGACACTGTGTATGAACACTTACCCTGTCCAGCTGGAAAGGGCAATTGAAAATCCTCCCAAATAATGTCAGAAATTTTGAAAATTAAATTTATTTTCTCTTTTATTCCTTCCTGGAAGTTATGGTAATATTACATGTTCTGACTAGCTATAAATCCTATCAACACAAGTATTGATGGTCAGCTCTCTCTTAGGGAGGGCAAAGTGCTTGAGTGGGTGGGCCACGCATCCTCACTATTAGTCAAACATAAGATTTCAAGTGGTTTTGCATAGCCAGAACCCTCCAAACATAGGCAACCCACCTAGTGTATCAAGACTCATTAGCCTGATGAAATGTTATTATTGTAGTGCTTTTAATTTTGTTTCAGTGTCGGAATTTTGATGCTGTGGTTGAAACTTTAAAATTATGATACATTGAGCAGGAGAACAAGTTGTGGTGGAAATGGATGGATGGATGGTATGATGACCATAATTGTCCCATGATTACTGGTCTACCGTGGGTCTAGTAGGTTCTGAACTTTGAGTAATAATAATAATAATATTTACAAAAGGTACAATGGGTTGGTGAGATTACATTAGAGTAATATTTTGACATTCTTGCAAAGCACTAGTACCCATACTAGCTATAATATTTTTCATGCGAACCTGGTGGCCCCACACCCATAACAAAAACCCACCCACCTATTGATATATCCAGCTAAACACCCCACACAATGTCAGGAGGGGTCAAGTCCAACATGATAGCTTACTGACCAACTAGTTAGTATTCTTTAGTCCTGGACATAATCCAGGACTCAAGTTTACTCAGATATGCTCGATACACATGTTGGTGTATATAGTGGTCTGCAAACATTACCATATAAGCAATATGAAATGGTTATAACAATAAGATTTACATTGAATCTAATGTTGCTGATACAGGAGCTAGTGGTAGAACAAATAATTCTGCCCTGCTGATATGATTTATAAAAGGTTGCAAGAAGGGTGAGGTGACGAGCCATTACATTTGTAATCCGTTGTCATATCACCCGCTACTGGAATCATATTATATCTCAAGAACAGCCAACATATGTACTTCTGTAATTTAGGCTACTATTACACACACAAATCACACTAACGTGATGCATCAAATGAACAAATCCACACGGGCAATCCACAAGTGTCTGGGATGATCCCGGACGCAGGTTCGAATCCTCGTCACGGCCCTTGTGGATTTGTTCATTAGGCTACTATGCCAAAAAGTTGTTCCAGTTTGCCTAGAATTATTGTCAGCAACTAGTGAACACGAGAAATGTAGTCACATTGAGGACATCTGGAAAATTTTACCAGGTTAATTCCAGTGACCATGTAACTAATGTTTTTGCTTTGCAGTGGTATGAATATAGTGAATAATAGAATATAGATATGGTTAATGTTTATAACTAAATATATTGGATATGGGCAAAATGCCCTTTTGTTCAAGTACTGGGGCTTGGGTGTTCTATCAGTTGGTGCACACTGAGACTTTAGACAATGCCATTTAATTTTTAATATATCCATTGTTTTCAATATACAGTACTCATTTCATTTTTTGTCATAGAACACTATATCCTTTTTCAATTCACATCATAATAAATAGTTTACTGTTTTTAATCCATCAAAAATCAGAATAGATTTCTTAAGTGTCTGAAGAGAGGTGACTTGACCCTATGACCCTATGATTAGTGTCCAGCACAAGGGAAAGCCCAGGAAGAGCCCCCTCTTCACCCTTTATGTGGCAAATCACCAATGTAGTGCTGGCTGAGGCCAGATGGTTAGCCAAGCCACTCGGGAGATGTGTAGCAATGCATTCCACACTGCTGCCATATTTAAAATGCTATGAGATTTCACTCTACTCCTTTTGTGGAAGTTGGAGATGAAAAGGCCCAAGTCCTTGCAAAACTTGCTGAAAAGCTCAAGTGACAGAGCCTGATGCTGTGAGGAGATTGAACACCAAAAACTTTTAGATTTAGCCAGATCCAAAGGGGAGCCCTTCTGGCCAGGGTACCTTGTCCAATGTGATCCCTGAGGAGTGGAGCCTCCTAGTTGCTTGAGATCTTAACACCTTGGCATTGTGATGATTGCATAGTCATTAAAACAGTTCATGCAGTTTGGGGCATGACCTCATTGCCATCAACAATTAATTTTTGCTTGTTCTTATTAGTAGGTATAAACATTGTGAGTGAAAAAGTTTAACATTGGGTTGTGCACTTACGGGCAAAGCCAGGCCTTCCTTGCGGTGCGATGCGGGTGGCCCACTGGGTCAGCGAAAGTGTTAATGTGAGAGGTGGCGCTTTCCAGGTACAGATGGCTGGTGCAATGAGTCATCCTCCTCTAGTTCCAACAACTGTCAATTTCATATAAAAATTTGTTGAAATTGCCACCAGTCAAAACTATCTTTTATCTAAGGATTTTTTTTAATCTACCAAATACATTAACCATTTTTGCTATAAATACAGTATTGGGCTTGTCTTGTATTGACAGGGATATTTTTTATAGTACAGGTTGATGTTTAGTTTACTAAATGCCTTATTTCCTTTCAGTTTCATCTTCATCTGATCCGAAGGTTGGGGATCGTGTGGTCATCACCAGTGCTGTTGGTTCCCGACACGGCACCCTTCGCTTTATAGGGAAGACAGACTTTGCCGATGGTATCTGGGCAGGAGTGGAATTGGAAGAGCCTACTGGCAAAAATGATGGATCAGTCGCTGGCAAAAAGTTAGTAATTGATCGCATCTTCGTACGTGGGTCTTTGTATTGTGTGTGTTAAAAGGAAAAACTAGAGGTGTACTAATATATTGACAGCAATGGAGTCTATTTTTACAGTATGGTTAAAATATTTTGGCCAAGCAGTGAATAATTGATACCTAATATTTCTGCCACTGCCCAGCGCTTGAACCCAGGTCATTCTTGCTAGTGATGTCACTATCCACTATACAGGTTACGTGTTAAATCCCAAGTTATATTTCTGTGAAAGATCATGAAAAGATACAACACTATACAGTAATGTGAACAAAGATTGCTTTTTATCTAAGGATATTGATATGTGGAATATATTCTCCTGAAGTGCTGTACTATTTGGACACATCATAACACAAATGTAAAGTTCCCAGTTTATGCACTGCATTATGTATCATAATGCAATGTCATCTTCAAAGACTGCTTTTTGTAGGGATGTGATAGGTTGTCTTGCTTCCTCTATCATCCTGTATATAGAGGCAAACACTGAAGCTCTGAATTTCAATCATATTATGTACAGTATTATAATAGAAGAAAAACAAAATTGTACTTGCCTACACTGGTTTAAATTGGTTGATGTAAGCAACAATTTATTTTTGTATTGTGACGTTGCTTAGTATAAGTATTAGAATACAAGGAATTTTATTAGAAGGAAGTCATAGTTGGGAATTACACAAAAATATAGTATCCAAGATAACAAAAGTATTTTTTTATATTAATAGTGGTACTGCAGATGTTTGTAACAAACTCCAGTTGGAGATAAGTAGGCCTGTGTTAAAAAGATCTGATATTTTTAAAATATTTGACAAAATCTATAAAGTTTAGACACCATAAGCATAACTCATTCTGTAACTAAAGTTTTTAATACAAATAGATAATGTTACTTTCATTTTTTCCATAGATACTTTGAATGCAAAGACAAGTATGGACTCTTTGCTCCCATTGCTCGTGTAGGCAAATGTGCCGGCAGCGCAGCTTCACCCCGTCGGACTTCTGTAGTACCCCAGACTCCCCGTCCCACAATTCGGCGCTCCAACAGTAGGGAGTCTCTGGGTGGATCGTCTGTTGCCTCGTCCACCGCTTCATCCGTACGGGGTACCCGGGTAAGACTTGGCGTCACATCCCTCACACCAGGCCAGGTACGGTGTCTCCCAACTTCTTGCTGTTATTCGTGGATGTAATCCTGAGCAGTGGCTTTGTGAAAAGTCTTTTCATATGAATACACCTTTCAGATGTACACGAGTATTATAGATGTGATTTGGTACTGTAGCAAAGACTAAATGAATGTTGGGTCATAATAACATTTATAAATTTTAAACTAAAGTGTACTGAAACTTTTGAATAATTATTAATAATAAAGATTAATTTGACCAGAAGCATCATTAGAACTTCTTGGGCTACTTGCATAATGTTATTGAGCCTTGTTTGTAGTCATACACATCACTGTTGCACTTGTCCATTGTTGATGCCATGATGGATTGGTGTTTATAATAAAACTTTTAAAAGCCACTGCTTTAGTGGATCACAGTATAAGCAGCAGAAATATGGGGTAAGCTAGACCAGCCTTTCTGGACATTGATCAGTAGCTCCAAAATTTTAATGTAGAAAGATAAATGTCAATTTTCATGTGGACATTCATGGTCCATTGTTTAACAAGACTCTTGAGTTTTATTCGCATAAGCAAATAATTTTAGAATGTTATTCTGCTAGACAACTGTAATGAGGTTAGAACAACTGATAGAACAGTCAATTTATTTACCAGTATTTAATAACAGCAGAAATTTTTACTCTTCTAGTTGTTTGTAGAGAATGAGCTATGTTTACACTTTTGTTCTGAATGATCTTGGCTCTTGGGCTTTGTCTCTTAGCTAATATAGTCGCTCCTAACACTCTTGTTTTTTTAGTCATATCTTTTTTAAAAGGGTGAATGGACCTATTTCTCCACTATCCACTTGCTCACTACTCAGACGAAGAAGGGATAGTGTACAGGTTTTAGCATTTTGGTGTTCCAGACACTCCAGCTAGTGCCTCGTACCGTATCTGGGAGGGCTTCCTCATGGCTCCCTGGAGTTAGCTACCTGGATATCTCCACATGTATGTCACACTGGGCTTTTGTGAGTCATAAAAAGCCTACTGGAGACCAGATCCAAAACCTTCCTTACATTGTTAGATGTTGCAGTTCTTTTAAAAATTGTATTATATCTATCACTTGTTTGCAGAGTTTCTGCATTATATATGGCTCTGTCTTTCATGACCTGGCATTTCCCATTGTAGCATTTATACCTAATATTCTTCACATTAATTTACTCCTGATACTTGTATTCATTATGGCATATGTCCTCCATGCATGTATGTTTCTCTGTGTGAGCGTGTGTATTACATTACTATCTTGTATTTGCTATTTTACTGTTTTTTTTTTCTACCGGTATTAAGTGCCTGCATAATTGAGCTATTGGCTCTTTTTCCCTGCCTTTTTAACCCCGGTTAGAAAGGCGGTTAGAAAGGACCCCACCTTTCTAACCAATCTACTTTCCACTATGTCTACTACATATATTTTTCTCTAACACACACACACACACACACACACTGGAATTAAATTACATGGATGGTGAAATACTGAAGAAACTGTTCATGACTTGTGAGACCAAAACTGGAATATGCAGCAGTTGTATGGTGCCCAAATCTCAAGAAGCACATAAATAAACTGGAAAAGGTGCAGCAACATGCTACCAAATGGCTTCCGGAACTGAAAAAAAAGAGTTATGAGGAGAGACTGGAGGCATGCCAAATCTAGAAGATAGAAGAGGCGGCGATATGATCACCACTTACGAAATACTAACAGGAATCGACCAAATTGACAATGAGGAATTTGTAAACCAGCAACTTCATGAACAAGAGGACATAGATTCAAGCTAAGAAAACAAAGGTGCTGAAAAAATATTAGAACGTTTTCTTTTGCAAACAGAGTGGTAGACTGTTGGAACAAGTTAGGTGAGAAGGTAGAGGAGGCCAAAACCATCAGCAGTTTCAAAGTGTTATACGACAAAGAGTACTGGGAAGACGGGACACCACTGTGTCTTGTTCGTGAAGTTGCTGGTTTCAGGAATTCCTCTTCGTCAATTTGGTCGATTCCTGTTAGTATTTTGTAAGTGGTGATCATATCTCCTTTTTTCTTCTATCTTCTAGTGTTGGCATGTATAATGCCTCTAGTCTCTCCTCGTAACACCTGTTTTTCAGTTCCGGAAGTCATTTTGTAGCATATCGTTGCACCTTTTCCAGTTTGTGCTTCATTAAATTTGGCCCCATACAACTGCTAAAGATTCCAATTTTGGTCTCACAAGAGTCGTGAACAGTTCCTTTAGTATTTCACCGTCCATATAATGAAAAGCAAGGCTGAAGTTGGAAAACAACACATAAGGTCCTCTTACAGTGTGTCTTGATCTGTGTGTGTGCGCACGCTTTAGTGTTTATGAAGGGTTTTGTTGATAGCTGAATATTTGAGGTATGTAGACATTGTCAAGCTGGTGGTATATGTGATGAAGCCTTTCTGTAAGATGCCAGTCACAAACAGTGCTTTACCAACCTGTCCCTCAAAAAGATAGTATCCATTTCTACTGTGGATGGAATGTACAGAATATGGATTCTTGTACGGAAGAAAAGTTCTACAAATAGTGGATCAGACAGACCACGAACCTGAACTAACCTGTCCTAAGCCTAAATCAGCAATCCTAGGCCTAACACATGCACTCTTATGCCAATAATTAAGTAAATACAGTATATGTACTGTACTATACTATATTTGGCCTTGATAAATTAGGTATAGCTGTTGCCTTTTTTTTCTCGGGTCCTCTACAGAATTAATAGTACAAACCTTGGATGTATTTTGGGTGCTTCCAAACCTTAGTAACTACAGGCATTGCCATTTTTAGACGACAGGTTGTTTTATTTAGTGATTATGTACTAATGGGACATCAGTTTCATTCTTTTTCTTATAATGCAAAAGTAGTAACAAAACCTAATTTTGTAACATGGTGGGGGGAACACCATTAGATATTAAGATATTAATGGTGATGGTACATGGTTTTAAATTATCTTTAGACAGTGTTTTATTAACAAGGTGCTGCACGATATACATACCTACAGTGATCTATTTGTCCTCACTCGAGAAGCTGTTATTGGAAGTTAAGAATTTCAACAGCTTTATTTTGTTTGGTCTTGCATTGTCCTTAATTTTTAATTTTTTTTTTTACAATTTTGTTTTTTATATATTTTCTCCTAGTTAGTTTTCTATGTTTCTTCTTTATAATTACTGAAGTACAGTATAGTTCTCTGTTGGAAAAAGCATAAGGACCAAAATTTCCTAAAAGCATTAAAAATGAATCGTACAGTGTGCTGAAGGTAATTTACATAAAAGATGTTTACAAAGAAATCCATTGTTAGTGCTGTAGATAGTAAACTACTGCGTTATGTACGTAGACATCAGAAAGGTGAGCTTGGCATTACTTACATGGTATTAAAGACTTCAATTTAGAAATTATTATTCCTTAATAATAGATACCTTCCTTGGCCATTTTTAAAACTGCCATTAGTATGAAATATGATTAATTTCCATTTTTATAAAATTAACACATTCTGATATGGCATTTATATAGCGTAGCTTTATACACTGTACATTACTCTTGTAGTTCTTATAATAATAATAATTAAATAAAAATATACATGGGGTGTATTGCATTGTATTGCAGTTTTAATTTCTAAAGCACTAATGACAGACAGCAAACTGCCAGTGTTAGTAAGGCTCTAAATTTTTGAGCTCTATAGCCAATCTGGTTTAACTCTTTTTAAGGATAAGTTCTTACCAGCAATTTTTGTTTTGTGTTTGCTTCTATGTAATGAGTACAGTAAATATTATCAGTACAGTACTTTATCTGGTTAATTTGTTAATTCTTAAAACTCGTTAAGGGATCCCATGTTGCGTGTAAATTTGGCAGTGGAAGCTGTACAGGGAAGGTTTTTGGGACAATTTTTTGTTTGATTTTGAGGTCTTAGATTAGAACACCCCCATTTCTTATATAAAATATTTAGGTTTAGAAGCTTTATTTGTAAGTGTGTTATGCAGATTGTTACAGGTGTGGCTGAGTGAACAGGTTTATATCTGTAAAACTTTGTAGCTCATAATTAGTGATGAGACTTACATTGGCAAAACATATACACTAGTATAAAATTAGATTAACTTGCTTAGGCTAAATATAACAGAAATTTGTAAAGAAGTTATCACTCCTCTTATGTAAGAAAATTTAAACTTTGGCCATGATCCAGTAATGTGCATACCGTACATGCTTACATCCAGTGCCCGTTCCATACAAATGTTCTGGAGTGTCTCCTGCACCCCAAGATAATCCCACCAAAAAATCAAATGGAAGGCAGTGGTTATTGTTTCTGTTTGTGAGTGTAGAAATATACTGTACTTTATACAGTGCTCGTGGCTGGAAGTGATGGGAGTACTTAACAATAAGGCCTTGGTAGATGTGTTGAAAGTGGTGTGGGGAAACGGTGAACTTTGGGATTTATCATGAAGGCCCGATTCCTATTGATCTTGTACTGTACTGTACTGTATAACTTGAGGTTCACATTCCACAAATTTTCATGTGGCGAGGTTTTCACTGAACAAATAACTTGTGGAAAGAAAGGGCTGACTGTATTGTTCTTTGGAGTTTAATTGGCTGCTAACTAGCATTATTGAGACAGTTTCCCAGGTTTAATGAGTAGACTGGATGGGTATAAGGGTGAGAGGGGGATGGATTTAGATAGAATGCGCCTAGTGTAGGCCAACGGGCTTGCTGCGATGTTCCATAATGCTTATGTTCATATTTCTATACTCATTTGATATGGCTTTATATAAAAACAGAGATAGTAGTCAAGCTCAGATGAAGTCAACAGTTTCCTTTGTCCATAATAATTATATAAATTTCTTGGTAATTATATTGCTACTTGAAAAGAATACCATTAAATAGGACTGGAATTGTAAGTGCAACTATGGTGGCATTTCACCATTTCCTCATTTTTAGTGTACATAGAATAGTGTATTTTAAAATTAGTAGTTTACATTTACAGTAAGGCATTTTTTCTGACTACATAGATTTTTGTATTGTTTATGCCTTCTGTCATATGTCAGTATATTGTTGAGTATGTCCCCTGTACATGATTATCGAGTCATGTATGATAGCTGGTTTAGCCTAACTCATGGTTTTGTTGTATTCACCTCAGCATGTTAAGATATAAGTAGCACATACGTAACCAGCTTCATTATACATGCATGCACAAGAAATATTTGTATCAAATTATGTCCCCATTATTTTGCAAAATGGTTTACCACATTCTCTGTTGCTCATGAATGTTACTTGGCACTGTACATGTTAAATTAAAATGGTAACAGTAAAAGCATTTACAAGACTAGATTCATGAGAGATGTTTAACAAAAGTGCCTAAGTTGGCCTGTTAGGTAATGTGGAAGGTTATTTTGCTGTGGATAAAGGAAAATTTGCCTTTGAATGGTCAGAAACTAAGTTTTATTTGGTGACATCTAATTGTTACTTTTTACCAGTGAAGATTTTACAATGTGATCTGTGTGAAGGAGCAGTATGCTGGCGACTGTAATATGTGAAGGAGTTTCAGAATTCTTCACAATATCTTGTAGCTGCAGAGCTGAATTGTTTGTGATATTTAAACATTTTCTTGACCTTAAACTCTGTTTCATTTGGTCTTAAGTTCAAGAGCTGTACAGTAATTTTGTGTATGTAAAGCATGTTGATCAGTGGAAAATCTACCTGGTCACTGAAAGGAAAAGTTTAGTTTCTGTTCCTTCAAAGTTAAAAAGTTTTGAAAATTTACTAATTTTTATTAACTTTTAGAAATATTGCTACAGATATATTTATTAGGAGTCAAATTAAATATTATGTTAATTGGACTATGATATGCTTATGTTTTAACATAGTTCCCCTTTTCTTTAATCAAAGCCTAGTGGAAAAACACCACCATCATCCCTCTCCCATTCTCCCCCTCTTGGCTTGTCCCGTTCCACTCCTAGTTATTTCAGGTCATCATCTCCAAGATTTTCTCCGTCTCCTCCTCTCATATTATCACAGTCACTTTCTTATTCTTTCTCTCATTCTTCCTTGCCACTTTTAGCAAAATCTTCACAGTCTTTTATGTATCAGTCGGCTCCTTCCACTCCGCCAATTGTAACCATTTCTCGGCCATCTCCAACTGTCATGTGTGATCCACCTGGGTTTTCTCTAAGTTCCCATTCCCTTACTTCTCAGTCTATGCAACACATTTGTAAAAGTTCCATCTCTCTGCAACACCCATCCTCAGTCCCCACTAAACCATGCAGCTACCGGACACAAAAGAAACAGCTGGATTCACACTGTGAAGAAAGGGTAGGGGATTATGTGATGAATGTTGTGTAGTAGTTGATAAATTTTCTAAGTAATAGTATATCAGCCTGATAGCTAACCACGTGGACTGGTTAAAACAGCAACAGCCTTGATTCTTGCAAGGTCTGCGTGTGATTGCCGGTGGTCCAAGTGGCTAGGCACCTTTCCATCACTCCGCCCTCGTGTCCCTTCCAAGTGCTGTGTAGTCATACTGACTTAGATCTTTCTCCTGATTATTGGCTTTCCATACCTGCTTCTCAGCCAGATTTGTATTGGCATCCTTAGTGATATTTAGCGCCTTTTGAATATCCCGCGCTTTTGACGGTGCTACATAGCCTCCTCGGCTTGGGGTATTCTTTTCATAATTACTTACTTCTCAACCAGATAAAACTTGGGTCAGTATAAGAATAGTTTGTTTATTTCAGGGAAGGAATATGCTATTTTAGAATGGCAATTGTTTTTCTGACTTTAGAAATACTGTAAGTGCAAATTTATTTTAAAAATGGTTTTAATGAACACCTATTTATAATGAGCAGTTGAGAATGATGATGATATGCAAGGTGTAAATTGAGTACGGAACATTGTGCAATTTGAGTTGAAAAGGGGTTTGTTGTAAAGGTGCCAAGTAATGTATAACTAGTTTTAGAAACTAAAACAGCAGACAAGAAGAAGAAGAAAGGTTTTAAGTGTTTTGTTTACCTTATTTCATATGCACTGTTAGGCCTAAAAATATTGGGAATGTTATGGGAAATGATTCCGACATTGTACCTTACATTCAAGCAAAGTTTGACTCCTTACGAGAAAGAATATAAATATGGTTATCAACCAGATTTACCAACCACATGAACTGGTTGGTACAGTGATGGCCTTATCTTGCAGGGTTTACGCTTAGGCCCCCCCCCTCCCTCCCCTGTGGATCAAATAGTTGGGAATATTCTATGTTTAAAGCTGACTGTAAATTATTAGAAAGAACATCTCATAAATACTGAGAGTAATCAGTGTTCCATGTTACAGTACATGCAAATAAAGTCAAAAGAAAGGTATATAAATTGTATGTGGTGATTGCAGGGCATATTTATGTCAGAGAATTGATAAACTTGAGGAACTGGATGTAAATGGGTACCACCCACATTGGGCCAACTGTCCTGCTGCAGCTACTCCTGCTTTTTGTTTCATCTGAACAATGGAATGCAATGTGATATTTTGAATGTGTGTGTGTGTGTGTAGATTATTAAGAATTCAATTGAATTTGGGAAGAAATGAAGCCAAAAGATGGGCAAAAAGGATAAAAGTAAAGACTTGTGGTTGGCAGGTGCACTGAGGCTTGTAAATAGGTGTAGAAATATATCATTTTGTAAATCGAAGGGCACAATTCAAAGTAAATAATTTAATTTCTTATTCTTACTTGGTTTTTCCTTGCCAGCCTTATGAGAGGGGAGGTGGGGGAAGGGTTACACTGTATTTAACTTCTGGCACCTTGGGTAAATACAGGCCAGCCATATTTATATTACTGCATATTTTCACTTGCATCTTGGATCTGTATCCACGAATATACATGGCAGAATCAGCAATGTGTGCATGCAGTTAATTGAGTTGTGAATTGTGTGTTCTTAAAGTTGTGTTTTATCATGCTACTAATAATACAGGAAACTGTCCATTCTTCCCTGCTCTAACGTAATGACTTGGTACTATAAAAGGATTGGGATGGTGGTGTGTTTCATATAGTACTTGCAAGGTTTTTGAAAATTTTAATGTGCTTAGTATGATAGTATGCAAAGTCCATTTTTTTAGTCCACATAGAACTACCATTGCATTTTTGTTATAAAGAATTATAACAATTTCAGTATGTTTTAACCAATGAGTGATGTGGGCTAAGCCTCGTTCACCCTAGTATCAGAAGCGGTCCGTGAAGGTGTACTGATAGCAATGTTTTTTCACATCAATATGTCTGTTCACCTCTAAAGATCAAGGCTTATGTAAATCACCAGTAGCTATGCTTCAAGATTTAATAGTTTTCTTATCCATTGTAAATTTTGTTAATACTTCTCTAGTACTGAAAAACAGCCTTTCAACTTGTAGATTCTATAACTTTTGTAGATACAGCATCTATATAAAACTTTCTCTGCTATTGATTTAACTGCTGCTTTGATTGGAAACAGCACTATGCTAGCCGAGTTCCTTTTATAACATAGTTTAAACTAGAAGAATTACTATAGTCCAGTCTTGTGTGTAGTTACAAGTAATATTGTATTTCCTGTCCATTTTTAATTGCAATTAGCTATAGAGGATTGTAATAATAGCTTCCTTGTTTTTCTTTATTCACTTTAAAAATAAAAATACAAAATTTTGTAGGAACATGAATGAGGTTTGAGGTATTTTTATAGTGCATGTTATTAGTGGGTTGTTGTGGTTTTTGTGGAGTGATTAATGGCATGAACCTTTACAGAGGCCAACTAGGATTGCCACATCATCTGTTCCAAGCACCAAGGCACTGCAGGTAAGGTTTGAGTCATCAGCTTGTAGTGTTGTAAATTATAGTCAGGCACATCAGCTTACGTTGTGTTATGCTTCTCTTTAAGTCTTTTTTTTCATATCTAGGATTCTGTGTATGTGGCAGGAGGTAGGTAGGTATGTGTAAGCTTAATTACACTAGGAACATGACTACCAGTTCCTTAAAGAACACTCATTGTTAAATATATCACACTACTCTCATTAGAAACTTGTATCATTGGTGTTAAATTATATAAACTTTTTGACAAAGTGACAATTCCTGTACAGTACACATATTTTAAGTTATGTAGAGTACATGTCTTGACATTGTCAGGGAGAGGGAAGTGTGCTAGGCTTATTAAGGTATTATCTCTAAGCCAATAATTGAACTTTTCTAGCATTTAACCCACAACCTTTAAATAACCCTATGTATATATATACACATGTCGTACCTAGTAGCCAGATCGCACTTCTCGGCCTACTATGCAACGCCCAATTTGCCTAATAGGCTGAGTGATTTTCTTTATTTTCAATAAATTGTTTCCAATTAGTATATTTGAATTATTATTATTATATTATATAAAGAACATAAATTATTTACTTGTGATAGTTTAGATTAGGTTAAGATAGGTTAGGTTAGGTAGGGTTGGTTAGGTTCGGTCATATATCTACGTTAGTTTTAACTCAAAATAAAAAGAACTTAACTCATGCATAATGAAACGGATAGGTCTATCACTTCATAAGAAAAAAAAAATCGAAAAAATATATAAATTAAGGAAAACTTGGCTTACTAAGCAAATTGGGCCTTGCATAGCAGGCCGAGTATTGCGTTCTGGTTACTAGGTACAACATATATATATATATATATATATATATATATATATATATATATATATATATATATATATATATATATATATATATATATATATATATATATATATATATATATATATATATATATATGTCGTACCTAATAGCCAGAACGCACTTCTCAGCCTACTATGCAAGGCCCGATTTGCTTAATAAGCCAAGTTTTCATGAATTAATTGTTTTTCGACTACCTAACCTACCTAACCTAACCTAACCTAACGTTTTCGGCTACCTAACCTATAGAGATAGGTTAGGTTAGGTTAGGTAGGGTTGGTTAGGTTCCGTCATATATCTACGTTAATTTTAACTCCAATAAAAAAAAAAATGACCTCATACATAATGAAATGGGTAGCTTTATCATTTCATAAGAAAAAAATTAGAAAAAATATATTAATTCAGGAAAACTTGGCTTATTAGGCAAATCGGGCCTTGAATAGTAGGCCAAAAAGTGAGTTCTGGCTACTAGGTACGACATATTATATATATATATATATATATATATATATATATATATATATATATATATATATATATATATATATATATATATATATATATATATATATATATATATATATATATATATATATATATGTCGTACCTAATAGCCAGAACGCACATCTCAGCCTACTATTCAAGGCCCGATTTGCCTAATAAGCCAAGTTTTCCTGAATTAATATATTTTTTCTAATTTTTTTCTTGTGAAATGATAAAGCTACCCATTTCATTATGTATGAGGTCAATATTTTTTTATTGGAGTTAAAATTAACGTAGATATATGACCGAACCTAACCAACCCTACCTAACCTAACCTAACCTATCTTTATAGGTTAGGTTAGGTTAGGTAGCAGAAAAAGTTAGGTTAGGTTAGGTTAGGTAGGTTAGGTAGTCGAAAAACAATTAATTCATGAAAACTTGGCTTATTAGGCAAATCGGGCCTTGAATAGTAGGCATAGAAGTGCGTTCTGGCTGTTAGGTACGACATATATATATATATATATATATATATATATATATATATATATATATATATATATATATATATGTCGTACCTAACAGCCAGAACGGGCCTTGAATAGTAGGCATAGAAGTGCGTTCTGGCTGTTAGGTACGACATATATATATATATATATATATATATATATATATATGTCGTACCTAACAGCCAGAACGCACTTCTATGCCTACTATTCAAGGCCCGATTTGCCTAATAAGCCAAGTTTTCATGAATTAATTGTTTTTCGACTACCTAACCTACCTAACCTAACCTAACCTAACTTTTTCTGCTACCTAACCTAACCTAACCTATAAAGATAGGTTAGGTTAGGTTAGGTAGGGTTGGTTAGGTTCGGTCATATATCTACGTTAATTTTAACTCAAATAAAATAAAATTGACCTCAAACATAATGAAATGGGTAGCTTTATCATTTCAAATGAAAAAATTTAGAGAAAATATATTAATTCAGGAAAACTTGGCTTATTAGGCAAATCGAGCCTTGCATAGTAGGCTGAGAAGTGCGTTCTGGCTACTAGGTACGACATATATATATATATATATATATATATATATATATATATATATATATATATGTCGTACCTAATAGCCAGAACGCACTTCTCAGCCTACTATTCAAGGCCCGATTTGCCTAATAAGCCAAGTTTTCATGAATTAATGTTTTTTCGTCTACCTAACCTACCTAACCTAACCTAACCTAGCTTTTTTTGGCTACCTAACCTAACCTTACCTATAAATATAGGTTAGGTTAGGTTAGGTAGGGTTGGTTAGGTTCGGTCATATATCTACTTTAATTTTAACTCCAATAAAAAAAATTTACCTCATACATAGAGAAAAGGGTTGCTTTATCATTTCATAAGAAAAAAAAAATTATAGTAAATATATTAATTCAGGAAAACTTGGCTTATTAGGCAAATCGGGCCTTGAATAGTAGGCTGAGAAGTGAGTTCTGGCTACTAGGTACGACATATATATATATATATATATATATATATATATATATATATATATATATATATATATATATATATGTCGTACCTAGTAGCCAGAACGCACTTCTCAGCCTACTATGCAAGGCCCGATTTGCCTATAATATATATATATATATATATATATATATATATATATATATATATATATATATATATATATATATATATATATATATATATATGTCGTACCTAGTAGCCAGAACGCACTTCTCAGCCTACTATGCAAGGCCCGATTTGCCTAATAATATATATATATATATATATATATATATATATATATATATATATATATATATATATATATATATATATATATGTCGTACCTAATAGCCAGAACGCACTTCTCAGCCTACTATTCAAGGCCCGATTTGCCTAATAAGCCAAGTTTTCATGAATTAATGTTTTTTCGTCTACCTAACCTACCTAACCTAACCTAACCTAGCTTTTTTTGGCTACCTAACCTAAACTTACCGATAAATATAGGTTAGGTTAGGTTAGGTAGGGTTGGTTAGGTTCGGTCATATATCTACGTTAATTTTAGCTCCAATAAAAAAAAAATGACCTCATACATAGAGAAAAGGGTTGCTTTATCATTTCATAAGAAAAAAATTATAGTAAATATATTAATTCAGGAAAACTTAGCTTATTAGGCAAATCGGGCCTTGAATAGTAGGCTGAGAAGTGAGTTCTGGCTACTAGGTACGACATATATATATATATATATATATATATATATATATATATATATATATATATATATATATATATATATATATATATATATATATATATATATATATATATATTATTATTAGGCAAATCGGGCCTTGCATAGTAGGCTGAGAAGTGCGTTCTGGCTACTAGGTACGACATATATATATATATATATATATATATATATATAATGTCGTACCTAGTAGCCAGAACGCACTTCTCAGCCTACTATGCAAGGCCCGATTTGCCTAATAATAATATATATATATATATATATATATATATATATATATATATATGTCGTACCTAGTAGCCAGAACTCACTTCTCAGCCTACTATTCAAGGCCCGATTTGCCTAATAAGCCAAGTTTTCCTGAATTAATATATTTACTATAATTTTTTTCTTATGAAATGATAAAGCAACCCTTTTCTCTATGTATGAGGTCAATTTTTTTTTATTGGAGCTAAAATTAACGTAGATATATGACCGAACCTAACCAACCCTACCTAACCTAACCTAACCTATATTTATCGGTAAGTTTAGGTTAGGTAGCCAAAAAAAGCTAGGTTAGGTTAGGTTAGGTAGGTTAGGTAGACGAAAAAACATTAATTCATGAAAACTTGGCTTATTAGGCAAATCGGGCCTTGAATAGTAGGCTGAGAAGTGCGTTCTGGCTATTAGGTACGACATATATATATATATATATATATATATATATATATATATATATATATATATATATATGTCGTACCTAGTAGCCAGAACGCACTTCTCAGCCTACTATGCAAGGCCCGATTTGCCTAATAAGGCAAGTTTTCATGAACTAATTGTTTTTCGACGACCTAACCTACCTAACCTAACCTAACCTAACTTTTTCGGCTACCTAACCTAACCTAACCTATAAAGATAGGTTAGGTTAGGTTAGGTAGGGTTGGTTAGGTTTGGTCATATATCTACGTTAATTTTAACTCCAATAATTTTTTTTTTACCAGTACATAATGAAATGAGTAGCTTTATCATTTCATAAGAAAAAAATTTGAGAAAATATATTAATTCAGGAAAACTTGGCTTATTAGGCAAATCGGGCCTTGCATAGTAGGCTGAAAAGTGCGTTCTGGCTACTAGGTACGACATATATATATATATATATATATATATATATATATATATATATATATATGTCGTACCTAGTAGCCAGAACGCACTTCTCAGCCTACTATGCAAGGCCCGATTTGCCTAATAAGCCAAGTTTTCATGAATTAAAGTTTTTTCGACAACCTAACCTACCTAACCTAACCTAACCTAACATTTTCGGCTACCTAACCTAACCTAACCTACAAAGATAGGTTAGGTTAGGTTAGGTAGGGTTGGTTAGGTTTGGTCATATATCTACGTTAATTTTAACTTCAATA